TGATAATTTTATGAAAAAATGAAATTTTATGTGTTTAAGTTCTCAAATTAATGAATTAAATGTAGGTCTATAAAGACTCTAAAAATAAGCACTTTTGCATATTTCTCTTTATCCCAAAAGATCCATTTTGATTTTTTTCTTGCAAACATTCATTTTCCCCCACCAGTCCATAGTTTAAAATTACAGATTACTTTGTATTTTTCTCCTGGTTTTTTAAATCTATAAGTGCTCTCTTGTGAAACTAAATAGTATGTAAAAATCTCAAAAAATTCCCTAGATATCATAAGATTAAACAATAAAATGGTACTGGAAGAAAGATTAGTTGTGACATTTCTTTGTTTAAGCAATTGAGATGCCCCTAAATTAATTGTGGGATTAGATTATGGACTATAAAGAGGGGCATCATTTAAGAGAGAGTGGTCACATCTGAAATGCTTTCTGACAGGGAACTATTTATTCCGGGGCAAATCAGTGTCTGAAATGCCTAATTAGACTGGTTAGAGCAACCTGATTCTGCAACATAGTGAGCTCCCCAGGGAAGCTATTGTGACGAACAGACAGAATCCTGCAAAAAGAAGCCTCCTCCTAATGAGCATTTTTCAACAGCAATTTTGTTCATTTACATTTCTCTTGTCTCATAAAGTTCAGACGAATTTGTCTGTACTTTGTATTAATTTCTATGGTAGTGCCTCCCATTTTGTATTTTCAGAGACTGTGAAAAGTAATTTGCCACTAGATTCTCCTGATGTGTAAATTAATTCCCAGGGGTGAGTAGGCAGGCAGGTGAATTCGGCGCATTACAAGTAACTCTCTATTATTTACACTAATGGGAGGGAGCTACGACCTAGATAGTTCAAAATGGAGGTGCTATCTAAAATATCCATCTACTTAGTATTGAAAATGTGTGGAGAGTGATAATCCAGATGAGAAGCCTATCTTCAAGGAGTTTACAATTTTGTAGGGAATTAAGGCATGTACACAATATGATTTTTAAAAGGGTGGGAGGCGCCTCAGAGACATAAGAGATACATAGGATGTATCCCATAAGATGCTATGGGAACTCAAGAAATGAAAGAATTGGTGCCATAAACAGATATGGTGATATTTCCAACAGAAGCATTACTGAAGCAGAAAGAGGCACCATTTTATGCAAATACACACACACACATTGAATATATTCACCATCAATCAACTCGATCTAATTGACATTTGTAGAATACTTCATCCAACAGTAGCAGAATTTACATGGTTCTCAAGTTCACATGGAACTTTTACCAAGATAGACGTATCTGGGCCATAAAACACAAATAAGCAATTTTAAAAGAATAGAAATCATACAAAGTATGCTCTCAGACCACAGTGGAATTAAACTAGAAGTCAATAGCAGAAAGGGTAGCTGGAAAATACCAAAATATTTAGAGAATAAACAACACACTTCTAAAGAAAAATATGAGTCAAAGAAGAAGTCGCAAGAAAAATTAAGAAATATCTTGAATTAAATGAAAATGAAAATACAATTAATCAAAATTTGTGGGATGCAGCAAAAGCAGGGCTCAGAGGGAAATGTGTAGTATTGAATGCATGTATCAGTAAAGAAGAAAGATCTAAAATCAATTATCTAAGCTTCAAATTTAGGAAACTAGGGGGAAAAAAAAGACTAAATTAAATCCAAAGTAAGCAGAAGAAATAAAATAACAACACAAAAATCAATTAAAATTAAAACAGGAAGTTAGTAGAGAAAACCAACAAAACCAAAAGCTGGTTCTTTGAAAAGTTTCATATACTGCTTCCCATGTATAGATAAATCATAAACAGGTAAATATCCTTTACTTTTTGAAAAATGGATATAACAATTGCCCCCCAAATTAATTACATTTCTTTGCATTGTTAAACTATATCCGGGCAGTAATTTCCACACTTGGAGACTCTGGCTGATTTAGTACATATGTCAAATTATAGATAAGTACAGTCATAATAAGAGTATAACATATGAGCTCCTTAGGAGATGGCCTTCTGTACCTCATCTTTATGTTAAAGAAGGAGTGTGTAGAAGTCTGCTGAAATCTAACATAACCATTGCCTTCTTTTGAAATCAGAATTCACATTTTGGGGCAAAAAGACACTAAGAAATGAACACTGATTTGCCAGGGAATAAATAGTTCCCCGTCAGAAAGCATTTCAGATGTGATCGCTCCCTCTTAAATGACGTCTCTCCTTAGAGCGTATAATCTAATCCCACAATTAATTTAGAGGTATCTCAACTGCTTTAATCAAAGAAATGTCACAACCAATCTTTTTTTTTTTTTTTTGCTGTCCCTAATTAGATTTAAAACAAAATATACTTACAGCAATAACTTAAAAAGTACAAAGATTCCACTTGGCTTAGTTAATTCTTATCACAAACATGTATTTGAAATCATACAATTTATACTTTCATACAGAAAGATGATGTCTGTTTCTCTTCTAAAAAAGAAAATCTCAACTCGTGTGTTGGATTATCAATTCTAAAGAGTAGCATTAGTGCAATGAAATCAGATTTATCAGTCAAAAATTCAGAACAGGAATTAGTGTTAAGCTCTTCTACAATGAAACATTCAAAACATTGCCAACCTGAAGTTTTCCACACAATGTGTTATATTTCAAGTCCCATGGGGGCAATTATCTATAATGAGATTAAGAACATACTTAACCTGGGTTCAGGTTGGCACTGTTTCCGGTGGGTGAGTAAACATTTTCTTGATAGCCCCAATGAAGGGTTTGAGACTTAGACTGTTGTATGATGTAAACAACATGGATTTTTTTTTTTAATTTGATAATATCTACTGCATTATACAGTTATAAAACAAGTAAAATAATTCTTTGTCAGACTACAGTCTCCATTATCTGAGGAGGGTACAGGGAACCACATGATACTCTTCTGTCTCTCACGTTTATACATAGGAATGTGAATTCTACCTGTGTTGAACGATAGTGTGATACTTCATTAGTAATATTTGAGAATAAGGCTCAAGGTAGGAGAACTGATATGAGCACATTTTGAAAAAAAGATTAAAAGTTCTATATATTCCCATCATTTTAAACTCTGAATCAGTTGTTCAAAACTGCCAGTGTACAGAATCGGTGAATGTTCTTTGGGCCTAAAATATGGCACCGATGAAATGACTTCAGGGGTAGATGATGCTTTGCTTTAAATTACTACGTGATTCCATTTTCCAAACAGCCGTCAGATTTCTATAACTTTTAAAATAAGGGAAAAAGTAAGTTAGATCTCACCTGAAATGAGTAAAACTAAAATTATCAATCATGCAAAAACACAGTTCACTGCATTTCAGCTATTAGAAATTCAGAGAATTTATCATCAATAAATACAATTTAATGGAAAACAGATGCAAGTCTTTTTCTCCAAGAACCTAGACATAAAGAACTAGATATAATCTTATTTGAAATGTAAAAAGACAAAAATTTAGGTAGGCTAATTTTACTTTAAAAAAAGTGTTAGGCTCTTTTAAACACTATTTAATAAAGTTGTGAAATTTTGCAAATAGCTTTGCAGTGCTATTTAGAGTGCAAAGTCACTAAGAAAGTCAACTTGATCTCATTTCCTGTAATGTTGAATTATAGATTTATTTCCTTAAGTGTTAAAAATATAGATGGAATTTTTTAAAAACTGAAATGAATCACTGTAAAAAGGTAGTAGTAGTAATAGTAGCATCAGAACCTGTCTAACTTCAGGGAGGATAACACGAATCAAGATCAGTGCAAGGCTGGCTCCTATGAGGAGGAGGTCAGACATACCTCCACTCTCCAAACTTTTTACCAATTCTGACACCAACCATCCCTCCTACGACACTCTCTACTTCTCTGCTGGGTTTGATAATCTGTTGCAATTGCCACACAGAACTCACAGACCATACCTACAATTAAGTGGTTTATTAGGAAGCAACAGGGTAAAACTCGAGATCAGGATCAACAGGCTACAACTTGGAATCAGGATCAGGAAGCATGTAGGCAAAGTCTCCCTTCTTCAGGGCTCCTCTCAGCCCGCTGAGGGCAGGCTCCTCTTGGCCTGCCACCTATCACCACTGGGCCCCTTCCAGGCCTGTCACCGTCTTCAGTGTTACAGCCCTTGATCCATGTTACAGCTCTTTTAGGGGGTTGCTTTCCTCCTGTCTCTCTCTGCTTCTCTCTTGTTTCTTCCTTCTACTTCTTCCTGGTGCTTCTCTTCCTGCTTCTTTCTGTCTCAAAAACCTCTGTGGGGCTGGCTGCTTAAATATACAAACTCCTTGTCCATTTCAAGACATGGCACTCCCACCAGGGCCATGAACTGACCAATCACCTCTCTGTAGGCCAGAAACATTTCATTTGCATAGTAGGCTACAACTTACCTCATTTGTATAGTCTATTGACCAATCCCCACAAGGTGCATCTCAATCACAGGGCAGGTTGCAGCCCAAGAGCAAACAAAAAGAATCAAACCAAGTTGATTACAGCTTGCCTAGGAAATATCAATCAACCTGGACAAAAGTAACACTTTGGGGTAGAAAACTAGGGCAAGGTAACTCCTCAGAGCTTAGGGGAAAAATCTCTCAAACTGTTTTTCCAAAGAACCAAGTCGAAAGGCCACATAAAGGAACTCATTTCATCACAATTACAGTCACTCTTGATGATATCTTGGTGAATGAAAGACCACTGTGTAAATGCCAATGGAACTAAGAGTTTTCAAAGTCTAACGGTCATAATCCTTCTCCTGAGAAATTTGAAATGTATATACGAACAAACTGGAGTGCCGGTGGCACAGTGGTTAAGAGCTCGGCTGCTAACCAAAAGGTCAGCAGTTCAAATCCACCAGCCGCTCACTGGAAACCCTATGAGGCAGTTCTACTCTGTCCTGTAGTGTTGCTAGGAGTCAGAATCAACTTGATGGCCATCGGTTTTGGATGTACAAACTATATCCCCCTTTATTTTAAGATTTATTGATACCTTCTTATTGGTTTTTATAGCAAGAGAAACTGGGTGATATCTGCTTCTCCCTTCGCTATGTGCCTACTGCTGGTAAACTGACTGTCGTCATTCTGGAGGCCAAGAACCTGAAGAAGATGGATGTGGGTGGCTTATCTGGTAAGTCTGTGATGTTTATTGATTTTTTTTAAATGCTGTTCATCATGGATACCAAATGCATAGCACACCTGCTGTGACTTCCCACTCCTTATTGATCATAGTTCTCTTTCCTACGGAGCCTGGAAGCAGTTTCAGAACTCATCCCAACACAGCACCCCAGGAAGTCACTCTCAATCTACCGGAATTGATACATAAGAAAAACCTATCTTCCTGGTGCATAACCAAAGTATCCATTCTCAGCTTGGCAGCATTGAAAGCTGGCAATTTTGTGTTTCTCTTCTGAAAGGAAATAGTTTTGCTGAGTTTTGGTTTGGGGGTTTGTTGTTGTTTTTGGTCAAAATTCATCATGATATAAAAAATAGTGTTTTATCTGAGACTTATTAGGTATTGGAAAGCCTAACAGCTTTTTACAATACCATTTTATTAAGAATTTAGCATTTCAAATATACATGAACAATTAAATCTCTGTGTGAATCCTGATGGTAATGCATTTATTTTCTCTAATTTATGGGAGAGGATGGGGAGACTTTCGCATAGAAACTTCTATATAGACCAGCCTTAGTAAAACATGGTAAGTAAAGTATACTCCTGCTCAAAAGCAAAGTCAACTCAAGGCCTTGTCACTTCCACCACTGAATATACATTTTTTTCCTTCTCTATGTGATTAAATCAATTATATTTCTATTTTCCACTAAATCATTAAAGTGTGAGGAATTTTCTTGATATGTCCCAAGGTCATTATAAATATAGTCATTGTTTGTAGCTGTGGAATTCAAATCAGCATTACTGGTTATTTAATGCTTTCTCCAATAAAAGTATTGCCAACTTCAAAAGATTACCCTAATGCAGCATGGTGATTTTATATTCTAAAGCAAAACAGCTAAAAAACTGCTAAAGCTGAATTTCCATTTCCTGGATCACTGATTTGTCAACCACATTCTCCTACTGCCTAAGTTTTTGTCTCTTTATAAATAAGTCACCTAGGGAAGTTTCATTAATTCTTTCACATCACTAAGACCCTATTTAATAACTTACTGCTTTCATTGTCAAATAGCATAACAGAGAAAATTTAAAGAAGTGACAAGTTTCATCTAAAAATCTGAACAGTATTTAATACGTCTATATGTGATTTTTAAAAAAAATGCAGAGGCATGTTTAACTGCAGTAACTTTTCATTCTCAAATTACTACTTAGTATACTGGAGCCATGACTCTAGACACCTTTGAACTTCCCCTTTCCTTCGGTTCAGAGTCAAGTATTATTACATGATTCTTTTGTTGCATCCTCCTTCACATGCTTCATTCCAAATTCCCATGGTAACCATCCCTTCATTATCCTATACCTAGTACTCCTCTGTTCTTCCTCACAAATCATCCTATACCATCCTCCAGAGTTCCACAAGAAGATTTACCATGAAGCCAACAAAATTCTGGGCTTCTCATTCTAGGAAACTTCCAAGGTTCTAGAAATGAGTGCCCGTGGTCATAGCAAGATATTTTAAGTACTATTTGTTAATCACCATTCATTGTCTCTTTCCACTCTGACCTCCCAATCATCTATCCTTTCTTGTTCAGTGGCATCAGAGAGATTGCAAGCATCTTTGGGATCTGGCCGAGGAAATCTGGGTTTTGCAGGATATATTTATTATGGCTTACAGTCATGCCTTATGCACAGTTAGGTTACTGCTAGCCATCTCAGTGAAGGGCAGACTTCTGAATGACTCCTACCACTCACTGCACCAACTAACTCAGAATTGTGATATGAAAGGGGAAAAGCCAGAGGTCATATCTAATTTAGTATTCATAATTTCATGTTATTTTTTCTAAAAAGAGCTACAAAAATCATATTGGCTTCAGGACCCACATAACCTGGGACCATCCTTGCATTTGAATGACCTGGAAAGATTTTAGCTTTTTAATTAAATGTAATTATTATGTATTAAATACTAAATATTAAGTAAGAATATTCAAAGATTAATTATCTTTAAAGAGTCTTAACCTTAAGGGCTCACTGTTGCATGTGGAATTAAGTCATAATCACTCAGGTCTACTATATTCTTCCAGACTCTGTCCCACCATATCGAGACGTTCCAAATACACCATGCACCTTGCAATCTCCATTCTTTACTTAGATCATTTCCTCGACCTGGAATTCCCTTCCTTTCAATAATGCCGAGTAAGCGCCTTTCATTCTTCATGCACAGCTTAAGTATTATTTCCTCTACCCATTCAACAAATATGTATCATGTCCCTACTTGGTTTCAGGCATTGTTCTTAGCATTAGGTTTACATCAATGGACAAAATAGCCAAAAGACTTCGCCCTCATGGAGTTTACATTCTAATGGGGAGAAACAGACAAAACCAATAAATAAGAGAAGCATATAGTATACCAAGTGGTGATAAATCCTATGGAGAAAGTAAAACTCGGAAGTAGGATAGGGTATGTTAGGAGAGTACAATTTTAAATGTGAGGTCAAGGAAAGTCTCTTGAATAGATGACATTTCTGCAACGACCTGGAAGAGTGAGGAAGTGAGCCATGGGGTGTCAAGGGGAAACAGAATTTTAGGTGGAGGGACTCCATGAAGCCTTTTCTGATCCATTCCAATAAAAGAATTCTTTACTTTTTTTAAATGCCAGTAGCAGTTTGTTTACACTCTCAAACATCACTGTCTCTCTCACTAGAATGTGTTATGTATTTATCTCTTCCACAATGCCCTGGCTGACTGGTAGCAGTGAATGTAGCTACCGAATGAATAATGAATTATTTATAAAGGAGCTATGACTTGAAAAAAATAAGTCTTGCATTTCAATTGTTTAACCTACTTACCATCAAAATAACTTTAAGCACTTAGATGGTCTGTCTCAAAGTAAGTTGACCTATGCCTGAGGAGATAAAAATTATATAACAAGATCATTCCAGATAATTCAAATGCAAACTACGTTTGCTGGTAATGGTCAGTTAATTGGAACAAAAGTGGGCTGCTTTGCTAGGGTTTAGATCCTACTCTGCCACTAACTAGCTGTTTGAACTTAGACAGGTTTCTTAGCTTTTCCAAGACTCAGTTGTATTGTCTATAAAATGAGAATAACCTGGATTTACATAGTGGCAGCAACAATGGGCTCAGGCATAACAACGATTAGGAGGATGGCACAGGGCCAGGCAGTGTTTTGTTCTGTTGTGCATAGTGTCACTATGAGCGGCACCGACATGATGGCACCTAACAACAACAACCTTGATAAGGTTATTGTGAAAAGTAAATAAGAGCACAGGGTCTGGCACACCTAAGGACTTACTAAATATTATTATTATTATTATTTCTATTAGGAAATTTATCAAATCTTAGGCTACATATACAAAAATGTGAAAGCAACCAATGGACAATTTAACCAATTGATGGATTCAAAGGAGAAAAAAAAAAAATAGTTCATCTGCTTGTTTGACGGGATTGGCTGTGATCAATTCAGGCAAAAGGATCCCACTAGTCTCATGTTTTGTAAGACCCAATAATTAATAAGACAAGATAAAATAAGAAAATAAAGGTACTGGGAGAGTTGAAGATTCCCAAAGGGGTGAGGTTGTATGTCTTGCAGTTTTGAGATATATTATATAGTTTTCATGCTCAAATTTATACCTGTGCAAAACTCTAAAGTCAGACAGTAATCAGATAACTTGCTTCTAATTGAATTTCTTATCCCTGATTATGTCCTAACAATCATTTTCTTCAAGTTATTTTTTTGGGGGGTTGGGGATGTTATCTCAGAAACTTCGGGCTTTTCGATACAGCTTACAAATCAGCAAAATGGAAGTAATTATAAGCCTTTAAATTTAATCTGTTGGGTAGAAATTCTATTTTCATCTTAAAACTGAACATTATTTTTAACTCTTAAAAGTCACGTTATTACATAGTTATAGAACACTCTCCAATTTAGAAACCCTTTTATAACTTGGCTTTTTCATGTGGTCCTCATGATAGCCTTGTCAGCTAGTTTCTGAAGGTAATATTCTCATTTTACCAGTAATAATATTGACCTTTAGAGACATTAGACAATATACATAAAGCATTTTGCTCCACATCTGGCACACAGTATAGACATTCAATATTGGCAGTTGACTTTATCATTACTACCATTCAAAGTCGTTTGATTTGTAGGTGGTATTGCTGGGACTGAAGCTCAGGTCTCCCGATTCCCAGTGCAGAACACGTTCAATACACCATTCAATCTTCCTCACACCCACCATCTCTGAGATAGGAGGAGGATTTCCCAGTTCTAACCTCCTAAAGGTGGCTCCCCTACCTGGAGCTGAAACAACACGATAAGGTCATGAGCGTTTGTAAGGCTAGAAATGGAGCCTTCAAGGACTATTGGAAAGGGAGACATTCTTGGAGACTGGAGAAATTTCCAGCTGTATAAACCCCTGTGAATATCAGTTACTTTCAAGTTCATTCTGACTCATAGCGACCCTGTGTGTGTCACAGTAGAACTGTACTACAGGATTTTCAGTGGCTGATTGTTCTGAAGTAGATTGTAAGACCTTTCTTCTAAGGCACCACTGGGTGGGCTCTAACCTCCAACCTTTCAGTTAGCAGCTGAGTGTGCTAACCTCTGTGAATACTCCCAGCCAAATAATTCCTTGACACTTGCTTTCTTCAGAGAACCATAAATTGACTTCCTTGCCTGACTTGTGGCTTCTGGCAGATTTCTCTTCTGCCTGGCCCAGCATAAAACAGAATGCAGTCTCATAGACCTATTTCATTTCCTTCTTTCCTGAAAACCAGCACATAGTCCTTTTTGAGATTTTTCTGTGTTTTGCTGCTAGGAACCATGGCAAACAGACAAGGGTAAAAAGTTTGCAACCCTGCCCTATTGATGTGATTTGTATTCACCTATACTGTAAAAAGAACAACAGCACACCGAGCATGGCGGCAAGAGGGTGCTCGGAAAACATATATAAAGGACTGAAGTCATATTCATCTCTTCCAGAAGCCTCCTGAACATC